CTTTAAATTTTAAACTTCCTGCTGTGGATAGTTTAACGATGGCCCAGTGGAGTTTAAAGCAACTGATTCAAAGCTGAGCAGAAGTCTCACTTACCTTAAATTGGGAGGTGCTTGTTTATTACTGTAGAAACATTTTTATTTATATTTTTTACGTTCAAGGGGGTAAAACAGTCATTTTACTACAAATGGAACCTCTTTGGTCCGGCAACCTCCATTGTCCAGCATGATTTCAGTTAGCCAGATGTCAACTTATCATGGGTGTGACCAAGTTTCTCAGAGTCCCATAAAGTTTGTTTCCTGCCACCAGTCCTGGCTTTCAGTGTTCTGTGCTGTTACTTAGCTCTAATTTACCCCCAAATGTCTTCTAAGAGCCCCGTGAGCAGTGGAAGTGTTGGAAATGCTGCTAGACAATATTGACCTCCCATGTTCCGGAAGATTCTCTGGTTTGTCATCGGTCAAGTTCCAAGGGTGCCGGACGAGAGAGGTTCAACCTGTAGTGAAAAGAAGAATGAAACAAGGGGTAGTCTAGGTCCCCAGGCTCCTGTCTTGACCCCAGACCAGATGATGGATGGGCGGCCAAGGCAAATTTAAGTTAGTGGTGTCATGGCTCCATACACTGGATTGCAACACAAATTTGGCCTGCCCTCCCTGTCATGCTGGAAGAGAGGTTAGGTCAAATGGAAGTGAGTGGCGTTGCAACTTGGGATATGGAGTTGCAATGCTACTCATATTTAAAGTGGGCAGGCAGGTAACTTCTGGTTGCATTCCTGGTAACAAACCTTACTATAGGGTATCAGCTGGTTTTGAATTTAAGAAGGGACTGCTACCACATGCATTAAAGGAGTTTCCAGCAGAGTGCAGTTTGCAGCAGAAAACTTGACCGCATTGTATAAAATGCAAGAGCTCGGCCAACCTGGAACTCTCTCTCAGATTATGAAAGGTTCCTGCCTGCCAAGAAACACATACCATCCAGAGCCAGGCACCTGAGGAACGGGAGGAGACAGGCCACAGAGATAACACAAGACTCCAGCTAGTGACCAGGGCTTATCATTCAACTGGCAGCAGTACAAGAGAGTTGTGTGGCAAGTGTGTATGATTAACAGTATTCTAGCGTGGTGCAGAAGGCGAGGCTATAATTAGAAGGGTGACCGTGTGCATTTGCTGAATGGTGACTCAGACACGCTTGTTCCAGCCTCGTGGGATTGGTGTCTTGTTCCATGCAATGCAATAGAGGAGCAGGAGGCAGTCAAAAGTCACAAAATTACAGCTATCCTTGTCTTTCAGCTCTTTCTTCTCACCACTCCTGGCTGGCTCTTAGTTCCTTGCAAATATTTTCTCTACAGTGGCTGCATTTCTCCCCTACCCATTCCTGCCTCTTTCCCAGTTGGCTGAAAAGGTATCCCTCATTTTCTGGGCTCTAATTCTCTAGAAACTGATTCTGGTCTCTATTGCATTTGCCAGTGGGGACCCTTAGCCTTAACCCCCCCTTGCTCATACGAGTATCCTTCCTCACATGAACAGGCCCAGTAAACTCTGAGGCTATGTCTACATTGGCAAGATTTTGCACAAAAGCAGCTGTTTTTGCGCAAAATTTTGCCACCTGTCTACACTGGCCGCGAGTACTTGTGCAAGAACGCTGATGTTCTAATGTATAAAATCGGTGCTTCTTGTGAAAATACTCTGACGCTCCCTCAGGGATAAGCCCTCTTGCACAACTGTTCTTGCAAAAGAGGCCAGTGTAGACAGGCAACATCAATTTCTTGCACAAGAAAGCCCGATGTTTAAAATGGCCATCCGAGCTTTCTTATGCAAGAGAGCATTTACACTGGCATGGATGCTTTTGCACAAAAGCACATCTTTGATGCAAAGGCACATGCCAGCGTAGATGCTCTCTTACTCAAATACTCTAACACAAAAACTCTTGCGTTAAAGAGTATTTGCGCAAAATCTTGCCAATATAGACATAGCCTGAGGGATTATAGCAGAACAAACAAGGATTGCTGGACTGAATCAGATGAGGACTTCATCCTGTCTCCTGCAGTGGCTGGTACCAACTATTTTAGAGGGAGGTGCTGAAAACTCTGCAGATAGGAAAACCTGATCCCATGGAAAGTTTCCACTTCTGCCCTCAGTAGCTTTATATTGGTTTAGAGAAAGATCGCTCAGGGTGCATACAGGCAGAGAGATGGATGTCTGAGTCAGATTTGCACGGTCAAGTTCTAACCTGGTATAACATAGTGCATTCTCTTTGGCAAAGTTCATAAGTGGCTAGTGATCTGAGGTGCCCCGCCAGACACCCCTTCGCAGGACTGATTTTCAGTTGGGTGCTCGGCACATTGTGAAAATCCAGATCCTCATGGGGCAAAACTCAAAAACCGGCAAAACCAAAATAATTTCTTTTTTTTTTTGACCACTTAGTCACTGCTTCTACTTTGGGACTTTAAGTTTTTTGTGTCTAAAATGACAAACATCCCAGATTGACGAGGTAGGAGTAAAAGTGTGTGGGGAGGGGAATCCAGCTGATTCACTTCTTGTGTGTGTTTTCAGTATAGTCCCCAAAGCAGCTCTGAGCAAACAGGAGAAATTCTGTAAAATACTCCACCATAAAGCGGCCTGTATAGTCCAGTGGAATACTATTTCCGCAAACCTCTTATCTTTGCAGCCTGAATCACCTATTAGTTCTAATGAGCTCATTTTCATGGAGGAGCCTGTACGCAGCTGTAAGCATGCCATGTTAGCTAAAGGAAGTCTTAACACTGGCAAATTTAATTCAAATCTAAACCTCTAAATTTGGTTGCCTGGCATGGCAGGAACCTCCTGTTTGCTATATGCAAACTGGAAACTGAATACCCTACACCACCTTCTAGGGTCAAAAGCAGTGGACTAGTTAACATCTCTCTTGGTGGGGTTTTTGTTTTGTTTTGTTTGAAGCAGACTTTTGGAGAAAGAACACAGTACAAAAGTTCTGTGCTCACAACACCGTGCATCTCTCCATCTGGAGAAAGCTGCCTGTTATGTGTTATGCAGACATCTGCTCATGCAGCTGGAGTAGCAACATTGGTATGATGCACTGGAGACAAACTAAAATGGAGAGCTGAGGGATGAAATATTATTCAGGCCTTGCTAGAACTCCACTGAACTTCCAGTGCTAGGTTATGGCTACGTCTACACTGCTTCCCTCTTGAGGAAAAAGAATTGGAAATGGAGCGCAGATTAGCAAATTTGCATATCCTCTTCCGATCCTTTTTGTGGAAGAGGTTTTTGCACAAAAAAACGCAGTGTAGACGGAGCCATTTTGCAGAAAACCCTACTTTTGTGCAAGAACCCCGTAAACCTCATTTTTTGAGGTATAAGGGTTCTTATGCAAAAGGCATTTTTTCTGCAAAATGGCCCCCATCTACACTGCAGGTTTTTGCGCAAAAACCTCTTCTGCAAAAAAGCTCGGTCGAGACTATGCAAATGAGCACACGAGAAATGCTAATGAGCGCTCCATTTGCATTTCCTCTTCTGCAAGAGGGAAGCAGTGTAGACGTAGCGTATGTCTAGCCTGCCGGCTTCTTTCAGAAGAAGCTTTTCCGGAAGAGATCTTCCGAAAAAACTTCCGAAAGAGAGCGTTTACACAGCAAAAGCGCATGGGAAAAGTGATCTGCTTTTTCGACAGATACTGTTCACTCTGAATGAGTGCTATCTTGCATTTCAACTGTGATTACTATGGGCGGAGTGGCCACCAGGGCACCTGTGCTTTTTTCTCTTTCCTCTTCTTTCAAAAGAACTCCCTCTTCCCCGTCCACACACACACCTTTCGGAAAAAAAACAGGACTATATAGCACTTTAAAGACTAACAAGATGGTTTATTAGGTGAATAAACCATCTTGTTAGTCTTTAAAGTGCTCCATAGTCCTGTATTTTGTTTCAGCTACACCAGACTAACACAGCTACATATCTATCACTATTCTACTTTCGGAAAAAGGCTTCTTCCTTGTAGAATGAGGTTTATCAATGTCGGAAAAAGCCCTCTGTTCTTTCAATTTTTTTTTCCAAAAGAACACAACTGCAGTGTGGACGTAAGTGAAGTTTTTTTGGAAAAAAGAGTAGACATACCCCCTAGATTAGGGTTTCCCAACCTATGGTCGGCACATAAATATGGGTCGCCATTACATTTCAAAAGGGTTGCCAGGTGTCTCCCCAGGTGGCTCTTAAGGAGCCATTCACACATTTTTTGAATTGCCCTGGGTCACCAAGTCTTCCTGAATTGTCAAAATGGGTCCCCATCTGGAAAAGGTTGGGAACCGCTGCCCTAGATGATACTTGTTTAACAGCCTGTGCCAACTGCATGGGAGGAGAAGCAGCTGGATGTTTGGAGGTGCCACTCATGTCATTTGCATCCAAGCAGCTGGCTCCACTGGCAAAGTCTATACAGCTTCGCTCTTCCACAAAAGCCTATGCAAATGAAGTGTGGATTAGCATATTGGCACACTTCATTTGCATAATTAATTAGGAGCCATTTTTGCGCAAGAGGGTATTGCACAAGAGCTGTTCTTCCTGAAAAAATGAGGAAAAGCGGCTCTTGCGCAAAAACGGCTCCTAATTAGTTATGCAAATGAAGCATGGCAATATGATAATCTGTGCTTAATTTGCATAGGCTTTTGTGAAAGAGTAAAACTGTGTAGATGAAGCCATTCAGTATTTTGGAGAAGTGAATGAAGAACTCTGTCAGGCCAATGGTCCATCTTGTCTTCTGACGGTGGCCAGTGGCAAATGCTGCATAGTGAACAAACAGAACGAACAAGGGTCAAATAATGTTCATTTGGGCCACCTTTTATGGAAACTTGAGAGTAGGAACTTTCTCTCTCCAGTAGTCCAGGGCCTACTCGCTTCTCACTCGTAGTTTCACAGAAATTCCAAACCTACACTGAAATGATGCCAAACCTACTTCCATACTACACATTTACATTCTGGATTGCGGAAAAAAATACTTTCAATATCTCTTTATTTTTCAGGGCAGTACCAGCACCCCTCCGTCTCCATTTGTTCAACTATCAGGTGAGTATTTTCATACATGATTTTAGCATTGGCCGTCCAATGCCATTTCTGTCTCATTCTTCCTGTTGTTGGGCTTTAAAATACTACAGGTTGTACTTCTCTAGTCCAGCACCCTTGGGACCTGACTGGTGCCGAATCAAAGAATTTGCCAAACCACAGGAGGTCAATATTGTCTAGCAGCATTTCCAACACTGCCACGGCTTGCTGGGCTCTGAGGGTATGTCTAGACTACAGGCTTTTGTCGACAGAAGTTTTGTTGACAGAGAAAGCTTCTGTCGACAAAGAGTGTCTAGACTACATTCAGTTCTGTCGACAAAGCAAGCTGCTTTGTCGACATGGCAGTGTAGACGCAAAGGACAGTTTAGATGCAATAACGTCTTCTGTCGACAGAACTCTGTCAACAAAAGGCGTTATTCCTCGTAGAATGAGGTTTACCACCGTCAACAAAACTGCTGAGTTTTGTCGATGTTATGTCGACATAACTCAAAGGCAGTGTGGACGCAGGTATAGTTTTGTTGACAAAAGTCCACTTTTGTCGACAAAACCCTGTAGTCTAGACACACCCTGAGAGGCCAGTTAGGGTACGTCTAAACTACATGGCTCCATCGACGGAGCCATGTAGATTTGTTTGTTTGGCAAAGTCAAATGAAGCCGCGATTTAAATGATCGCGGCTTCATTTAAATTTACATGGCTGCTGCGCTAAGCCGACAAACAGCTGATCAGCTGTTTGTCGGCTCAGCGCGGCAGCCATGTAAATTTAAATGAAGCCGTGATCATTTAAATCGCGGCTTCATTTGACTTTGCCTATGTGTCTAATCTACATGCCTCTGCCGACAGAGCCATGTAGTCTAGACACAGCCTTAGGGTAAATCAGAGCTACATAACAGCACAGAACACTGAGCCAGCTGTAAACAAACTTTATGGGACCATGGGAAACTTGGCCACACCCGTGATTAGTGGACCAACTAAAATCACGCCAGACCACACATGTTACCAGACCCAAGAGTGCCGAACTACAGAGGTTCAACCTGTACCACAAAGAACTGCGATGGCACCACTCAACACTCAGACTGAGGAGCCTCTGAAGGGTTAGCTCAGAAGGTCTCTTCATGATATTCAATCGTGAAGCCCCAAGGGAAAAGAGGCAAGACAAACTAATTCCTAGAGGGGAAGAACAATCTTGTAGTTAAGGCACTGGGTTGGAACTCAGAAGAACAAGGCTCTACTGGACTCTTTATATAACTCTTAGACAAATCATTTTAAAAAAATCACTTAATGCCTCAGTTTCCCTTCTGTAAAATGGGGAGAATACTACTTCCTTTGTCTGTCCTTTCTAGTTAAGCTTCAAGCTCTTTGAGGCAGCAGCTCTCTCTCTCTCTCTGTCTCTCTTTCTCTCTCTCTCTCTTTGGCCACTGCTGGAAGACAGGCTACTGGGCTAGATAGACTATTGGTCTGATTGACTATGGCCGTTCTGATGGTTTTATGATGTCTGGCACAGGGGGGCTCTGATCTCAGCTGGAGTCTCCAGGTGCTATTACAGTAGGACAGAGGTCTCCAACCTTTTTAAGCACGAGATCACTTTTTGAATTTAAGTGCAATCGAAGATCTACCTCACACCCAAATACCCTGGCCCCGCCTCCTTTGTGCCCCTTCTCACTCCATCCACCCTCCCTCCCCCATCCTCCCTCACTTTCAGCAGGCTGGGGCAGAGGGTTGGGGGGCAGGCTCTGGTCTTGGATGAAGGGATCTGGAGTATGAGAGGGGCTCTGAGCTGAGCCTGGGGCAGGCCATTGGGTTGCAGGCTCTGGGAGAGTGTTTGGATGCAGGGGTGCTCGGGGCTAGGGCAGGGGCGTGGGGTGCAGGAAGGGGTTCATGACTAGGGTTGGATTTTGGGATGTAGGCTCCAGCTGGGCACTATTTACCTCAGGCGACTCCTGGGTGGTGGTGCAGTAGAGCGGAGGCAGGCTCACCCCTACCTTGGCCCTGCACCACTCCCAAAAGCAGCCAGCAAACTCCTCCATCCCAAGCCCCATTGTTCCCCCTCTCTGCTCTATGGCAATAGGATACAGGGTGGGGGAGGTGGCACCTTGACATCAGCACCCTCCTCTCCCCTCCCCCCCTGCACAGCAAGCAGGAGGCTCCTGAGGGGATAGCTCCAAGGCAAAGGGCAGGAGCTGCACAGCAGTGGCGGGCGGGGCAGCTGACGTGCTGGCACTTGACAGCCTCTCAACCAAACCAGTCAGGATCTCCAAGATCTACCAGTCGATCCCGATCTGCTGGCTGGTGAGCACTGCAGTAGGAAGAACACACGGGTTGTTATAGAAGCAGAGCTGCAAGCACACGTGCCATGGGGAGATACTTCCCTGGTGCTAATGGACCAGAAGGAAGCAGCAGTGCTGCTGAGCGATGCCTCCTGGGAGTGGACGTGGGGTTGTCACACAGCTCCACTTGGTAATAAAAACGGAATGGGCAGGAGTGCAAAAGCTGGTAGGGTGCATTTCAGGAGGGGTGGAGGTAAATGGATGGACTGATGCTGGGGGGGGGGGGGAAAAATTAGCCCCCCCCCCCCCCCCCCCCCCCCCCCCCCCCCCGCCCCCGCGGGGGGGGGAGAAAGGCCCCGTTCGTAACTGCGGATCCAACGTAAGTCGGATCCACGTAACTCGGGGACTGCCTGTACTACAGGACTCCTTGTCGCTTTTGCAGATCCAGATTAACACGGCCACCCCTCTGATACTAGGTCTGAGAGGGGAACCGAAAGGGCACCAAGAAGCCAAAATGGCTGGACCCCAGGCCCCTGGGCAAAGCAGTTCAGTGCAGAGCTTCCCATGATTTACTTTGCTGAGCAGGGATTGGCCTGAGCACGTGCTTTTGCCAAACTGGCCAACGCTGGGTTTGCTGAAGGTTGTTACCTGAACTGGGCTTACCTGAGTCACTGGGAGTCACATTTCTAGATCTTCCACCAAGAGAGTTTGCAACGTTCGGGTGCAACAGGCACCAGGGCTGAGAGAAAGGGGAAGGCCATGCTGTGATTTGGGTTGCTAACTTCACAGGCTCATAAAGTGTAAGGCCATTAGAGAGCTAGTGTGGCATCCTGTGCCTCACAGGTTGGTACATGTCACTCAGTTATTCCCCCTACTGAGCCCCATATTCAGATTAGGCTAAAGCATTTCAGTCCTCGGAGACTAAACTGGTGTGTGCCACAAGCAGGCAGCAGGAGAAACTGAGGTGAGACCAACACCTGAGACCCCTGCAATGGCAGCAGAATGATTAGGTGAGGTCTTTCCAGAAGATCCTAGGGTGTAATCCGGTCCCCGTCATAATCATGGGGTAAAACCAGGCACGGTGGGGGCAACTGAACAAGGGCAGGGGTCTCTCCTGCCTTGGGAAGTGGGCAGGGGGTTGTTATGGAGGGAAGGGAGAGTTCTGTGGTTTCTAACACTGTTGATCTGCCCATTGGGTGGTGATTTTGACACGTTCTTCCTGTTGGGTGACGGCTGTCGTTCTTGCCAGCAGGCTCCCCTGCCATGTCTAGTTACTACGGCGTGAGGAGATCGTTCCTGTCTGATTTGGATTTCCACAACGCTAAGCCGCTTTCGAATGATGTTTATGCTTCATGTCTGGGGGCAAAGTCCTTTCCATGTGACTCCTCAGGAGCTCAAGCGTACCCGCCGCTAGCGGACTCCTATTTCACCGAGGACTATCGCGCTGCTGCCCTGGCGCCCAGCACCAGCTCCCTTTTCAGCACCTCCTCACTGCCCCCTCTCCTGCCTCCCTTCCCCAATGACTCCGCGCATTTCTTAATAGTAAGTCTGTGGACTGAGCTGAATTTGGTATCCTGGGTTAAATGATGGGTTGCCTTGTGTAACGGGTGCACCACATCTTGAGGCCTGGTTCTGAGGCAGAGGAAGCCTTGATCTGATCCATTAGGACAGATCCGATGCTGCTGTGTTCCTGTGTTCCTTCTGCCTTGCGAGGCCTTCCTGGCTCTCCTTCTGGGCCCTGCGTCGGTGGGAGGAGAGTTGATTGGAAGTCTCACAAAGTTCTCCTGCCCCTACCAGTCCAAGGATCAAGACCCAAGCTCGTCCCACACCCATAGCTCTTGCATGGCATGTAGGAATCTGTACGCTCCACCCTCCCTTTTCAAACCACACCAGGATAATAACTAAGGCCCTTCTCCAGCCAAATCCTTAAGGAGATGCTTAATTTTAATTGACTTCCTGGGGGCTGCTCGTGGGTTTGCAGTTAAAGTGCTTTGCTGGATCAGGGCCCAAGACAATCACGCTTGATCTGGAACTGAATGCAACGTAGTTTATTCATGCCATAAATACTAGCTCTGTTTTCCTTAATCACTTTTTACACAAGAATCCTCTGAACTGTCATTCATGCTTAAATTTGACACTTTATGCCGAACTCTCAAAGATGCTAATTATCTTACCCATTACAAAGATAGCTTCCCCAATTATCACCTCTAATATCATTAGCTCACAGACATTTCCCTCCCCCCCCCCAATACCTCCTCTGTTCTGAAATTTGATTTGTCCTTTTCATATGTGTTCACTTTTTTTGATTGTATCCCTTTGGTATATATGGCCATGCCAATTTTCTTCCACAATTTGATCTGAGGAAGTGGGTCTGGCCCACAAAAGCTCATCATCTAATAAACCATCTTGTTAGTCTTTAAAGTGCTACACAGTCCTGGTTTTTGTTTCAGCTCGACTAGACTAACACGGCTACATTTCTATTACTTTTTTACACTCTTCGCTGGTGTTGCAGGGCAATACAGAGCTGTCTGTGTAGGGCCTAGGTGAGAAAGCTGGAATAGCTCAGCTTGGCAAAATTGGAAGCTAGGAGACCCTGCAGTTTAGGTGTTTGTGTCTTTTTGCTTGGAAACACGGCATTGTTCTCAAAGATAGGGTTGCCAGGTGTCTGGTTTTCGCCTGAACTGTCCATTATTCAGGTCCCCCATCTGGTAAAAAAAACAAAACAGAAAATACCAGACATGTGAAATGTCCGGTATTTCCTGTTTCCCTCGGATGGACAATTTTCTCCTGCCACGTCTGGCGGGGGAGTGAGGAGCACGGGGCCATTTAAAGGCACAGCGCCCCTTTTTTTTTTCCTCTTCCTCAACAACTTTCGTCTCTCCCTTTTTTTTCATGGTGTTTATTTTGTGTGTGTGGGGGGGGGGTTGGTATTTTTTGTTAAACCATCTGGCAACCCTACTCAAAGATCTCCCTCACCCTCTTTCCTACAGAAAGACCCCTGGGAGCAGGCCACGCCTGACAGCCTCAACCAATCAGATGCCGTGGGCTCAGATTGTCTACAAACCAGCTGCCTCACCTCTCACGACACTGGAAACACTTCCCAGTACAGAAGCTCGAGCTGGAGTTCTGCCATCCCAGGTGCCCAGTCCTACTCTTTGCCTGCTTTTGAAGACGTCCATTACATACCCAGTTACCCTGCCTCCTCATCCTATTCCTTTTCACCATTTATGACTGTAGCGAATGACCTACCTCCCAAGATGCTCCACCTGTCATCTGAGGAACCCTTAGATACAACCACCCTTCATGAAAGCTCCTCTTGGGCAAAAGAAGACGGGAGTCCAGTCTGGGGGACGTACGAGTGCAGAAGAACTTATTGAGGAAAGCTCCCAGTTGGTGACAAATTAGAACGAACCTTCACTCAGCTGAACTGATTAAAGGATTTTTCCCTATAGTCCATCATTGAAAAATCAAGGACAGTGACAACGTAGCTGGAGGCAAAAATGCGAAGAAGACTTTCAGACGAAGGAAACAGCCATTTCTAAAATCAACACGTTGCTTTATGCTGTGTTTAGCCATATAATTGTCAGGGTTACCGTGTAGCTTGTAGACAACAGATCCAGTGCTCATGTAAAATCAGTTTTAAAAGTCCAATGACATCAGTGGCTGTTGGATCAGTCCCAGTTTGGAAAGCAACCTTAAGAAACAGGACCTCATCTTTTTTGTTGCTGATAAACTGCATCTATTGCAGTTTAGAAGATTTCTCAAAAACGACTCTACATAAAGATAGTTATAGTGGGGAGGGGTGGAATGTTTTCAAATAATGTAAGTTCTGTATTGTGATCTCTCATTGTATGCCACATACATGTAAATTCCAAATGCCAATGTTATGTAAATATGGCATTGCCCTCGGGTGATAGTTATGGAAGGGGTAGTAAATAGAGGGTGAACATGGACAGACAGCATACCCAGCAATGACAAATAAACATTTGTGACCTGAGATCAGCCACAATGGATTGCTTCAAGGAAAATAATGATTGCAGTATGCAAGTGCTTATCTCTTACAGTGGCTTTCATACCCAAAGAATTACTATTTATTATTATTTGTGGTGTGTAATGCTCCAAAAAGCTCCCCAGTTCCCCTGGCACTATGCAAATATATAGTAAGTGACAGTCCCTGCCTCAAACAGCTGGTGTTCCAAAGTTTAGAATCTGCAAAGACTTGCACGTTTATGTAACACTGACTTCAAAGGCAGCCTTCCTGAGTACAGAAGTCTGCCGGCATGGAGTCATCTGCAGACTTACAGAGGTGTGTGTATATAAATTATACTAGCCTGCTGGCATGGAGTCATTTGCAGACTTACAGCCAATGTTTTGCCCAAAGCCATCCTAAATCAGAGCTGCGTGCTTGAAGCCCAGAGGAAGAGGTGTGTGTATATAAATTATACTAGCCTATTTTGAAGGCGCACAATTGTATATCCCTAGTCTCCCTTTTTTCTTAATGGCCAAGTCCATTAAACTCAAAATATGCCGTTATTATTATTGGAATTGTGGTACCGCCTAGCAATCCCAACCCACATCGGGACCCTTGCCCCACTATGGTAGGTGCTATGCAAACACAGAGCAAGAGATAATCCTTGTCCCAGAGATCTTAAAATCTAAGCCAGAGATACAAAAGTTGGGAGGGAAAACAAAGCACAGAGGGGAAAGCCTGCTGGTTTCACTGAGAATTAGGCACCGGAATACTGTTGAGGACCTGAGCCAAAATGATACCTCCAAGATCCCACAATAGAATCAGAACGGAGCAAGGTTTCCAATACAGCAGGTCAATGCCCTGTCCATTGGCTCGCACTACTCTCTTAGACGCAAAGACACTTGATTACAATTTTTTCCTTGCATGAGGCAAGTCAGCAGATCGCACAAGCAACCCTACAAAAGCTGGGGGGAGAAGGGGACAATATGCAATGGATTAAACACAATTGTAACACAAGCAACCCTACAAAAGCCGGGGGAAGAGGGGGACAATATGCAATGGATTAAACACAATTGTAAGGAAACAAATGATGGATTCATGTTTCTAAAGAGGTTACAGAAGTGAAACACGCATGCTTCAACGGAGTACAAAGCACCTCGGCTTTGCACCTTCAAAAAGCATTTCAGGACTTTACTCAATGCGTGTTCTTGTGTTCACGCGCGCCCCGGTATGTGTGTGCCAGAAGCTGTATGGCCACTAGAGGGAGCTGTTCACACGCATATGCAACCACGCCTGTCCCTTTTGTCCGCACAAAGCACAAACCGCAACCTGCATGGATGAATAGGGTTCTAAGTAACCTTCCTTGTGTCAGTTGCAATTTTGTTTCCAAGAGCAGCCACTGCTTTCCCCTTGGATGGAGACTGCTCCCTTAGTGTAGCAGCAGGGAAAGCCGCAAAATCTTAGTTTAGGAGACTTGGGATCAGGGCTAAATCCGCAGGTCTCTCTGAATTATGCTCAGCACAAGGCCTGGGGAGTGTGTGGGGAGACAAGGTGGTTTAAAGCCATATTTGCACCCTCTCCTCTCATTGATCAGACCTTGAGGGCAGCCAGGGGCTGCTCTTACCTCCACACACTGATAACAGCAATCCAGGGGGTGTTATACACTCACAAAGAGGGGGTGTTCTACAGTCCCAAAGAGGAAGGTACTCCAGCCACATCTCTTGTCCCATATAGGGCTCTTAACCCAAACGGGCTGGCATATGAGGAGGTTGTGCAGATTCCTGTACCAGCCGTAGATTCCTCTGCAATGCGGGGACCTAGCTATGTGACAGCAATGCCAAAGGGCCCAATCCAGAACGGAGGGTTTGACCCACACAATCCATGACTATTTCAGCAGCTTATTAGAAATCAGTGATGAGCGCAGCCAGGAGCAACTCGCTTTCCAACTGGTCACACATTTCGACCAGGCCCTGAGAAATCACGTGTAGAGCATTCTGCAAGGATTTCTCCGAACTTCCTAAGAGATGGGAGGAGAAGGGGGAGGTCCGACTGACCGCAGGAACAGAAGGCTCTCTGCCCTTAACAATTTGCTGCACAACTATGAATGGCTCATTTAAAAATCCAGAGCATCTGGTACTGTGTTTGCCATGCCACTTTGACTGCAATTCTTCCTGCCTGATCAACTCATAGGCCTTTCACTGGTTTGGTGCAGCCCATTGTTTTTAAATGGGGTTTTCACAACAGCTACAATATACACAACTCTGTGGGTGGGTACCAATGCCAGGATCCCTGCCATTTATGACTAATGGCTCCAAAAAACACAGTTTCTATGTCATATAAAATTTGCACAAGCCACCAGCAGCTACAATGAACCCTTAAGGCAGCTTAGCCTCCAGAATGCTGACATTGCTTGAATTGCTGAGAGCTGTTAGGTGCCACCGTCCTTTAAAATCTGGCTACAATCAAGGTTTCCTCAATTTTCTTCATCCATGTGTGGAATAAATTTTTATGCACACCAACGTGTGCACATATGTGCACCACCAGTAGAAACACATGCTGCCAGTTGTGGGCATTCTGCTAATCAGCTGGGAAGCATCTGAATCTCTCCTGGGTGGCCACTCAAGCCCTCTACTTACAGGGAACACTGGCCCCAATATAGAGTAGCCAATAAATAGGTATTTTGAAATGCTCCATAGTCCTGTCAGTCTTCTACTCAAGATACTCATGGCAATCCAGAATGCAAACTGGTGATGAATCACCTTCATGTCCAGAAATGCCACTAAGGCATGAGAGTTTATTAAGTAACCTTGTGATAAGAAAGAGTCAACCAAACTAGCATTGGATTGATTTTCAGATTGGTTGGTTGCCAAAAGTGGAAAAGCCACAAACTCAGAGGGGGAAAGAGGGATCTTGCTATGTTGAGGAAACTACCCTTTCATTTGCAAATAATGATTTAAAGTGAACCCATCTAATATCAAGTATCAGAGGGGCAGCCATGTTAGTCTGAATCTGCAAAAGCGGCGAGGAGACCTGTGGCACCTTATAGACTAACTGAAGTGTTGGAGCATAAGCTTTCATGGGCATAGACCCACTTAGATGCATGAAAAGCTTATGCTCCAACACTTCTGTTAGTCTATGAAGTGCCACAAGACTCCTCGCCGCTTCCATCTAATATCAAGACTCCTAGTTTTTGTTTCTGACGATTCTTTGGGCGAGGCTTTTTTTTATACCCTCTGGCATCCTAGTGACTCTAGGATATGCCTGATGGAAGCATCAGCATCTGAGGGCAGGTTTGGGACGGAGGCAGGGTGAGCAGTTGCAGTACAGGGTGTCCCTGCTATAAGTCAGCCCCGCATACATCTGTTCCGCACTGAAGTCGTTGTAGGAACTGATGCGTTATAAGTCATAGAATCATAGAGTTGGAAGAGACCTCAGAAGGTCATCAAGTCCAGTCCCCTGCTCTAGGCAGGACCATTCCCAACTAAATCAACCCGGCCAGGGCTTGGTCAAGCCAAGACTTAAACACCTCTAGGGATGGAGACTCCACTACTTTCCTAGGGAACCCATTCCAGTGCTTCACCACCCTCCTAGGGAAATCATTTTTCCTAATATCCAACCTGGCCCTCTCCCACCACAACTTGAGACCATTGGTCCTTGTTCTGCCATCTGTCACTACTGAAAACAGCCTCTCTCCATCCTCTTTGGAACCTCCCTTCAGGAAGTTGAAGGCTGCTATCAAATCCCCCCTCACTCTTCGCTTCTGAAGACTAAACAGACCCAACTCCCTCAGCCTCTCCTCATAGGTCATATGCTCCAGCCCCCTAATCATTTTGGTTGCCCTCCGCTGGACCCTCTCTAATGTGTCCACATCCTTTTTGTAGTGGGGTGCCCAGAACTGGACACAATACTCCAGATGTGGCCTCACCAAAGCCGAATAAAGGAGAATAATGACATCTCTGGATCTGCTGGGAATGCTCCTCTTAATGCAACCTAATATGCCATTAGCCTTCTTGGCTACAAGAGCACACTGTTGACTCATATCTAGCTTCTCATCCACTGTAACCCCTAGGTCCTTTTCTGCAGAACTGCTACTTAACTGGTTGGCCCCCAGCCTGTAACAATGCTTGGGATTCTTCCGTCCCAAGTGCAGGACTCTGCACTTGTGCTTGTTGAACCTCATCAGATTTCTTGTGGCCCAATCCTCCAATTTGTCTAAGTCACTCTGGACCCTATCTCTGCCCTCAAGCGTATCTACCTCTCCCCCTAGCTTAGTGTCATCTGCAAACTTGCTGAGGGTGCAATCCATCCCCTCCAGGTCATTAATAAAGATATTGAACAAAACCGGTCCTAGAACCGAACCTTGGGGCACGCCGCTAGAAACCGACCGCCAGCCTGACATCGAACCGTTGATCACTACTCGCTGGGCCCGGCCTTCTAGCCAGCTTTCTATCCATCTTACTGTCCATTTATCCAATCCACATTCACTTAACTTGCTGGCAAGAATATTGTGGGAGACCATATCAAAAGCCTTGCTACAGTCAAGGTATATCACATCCACTGACTTTCCCACGTCCACAGAGCCAGTTACCTCATCATAGAAGCTAATCAGATTGGTCAGGCATGACTTGCCCTTTGTGAATCCATGCTGACTATTCCTAATCACTTTCCTCTCTTCCAAGTGCCTCAAAATGGATTCCTTAAGGATCCCTTCCATGATTTTTCCAGGAACCGAGGTAAGACTGACCGGCCTATAGTTCCCTGGATCATCCTTCTTCCCTTTTTTGAAGATGGGCACTACATTTGCCTTTTTCCAATTATCCGGGATTTCTCCCAATCTCCACGACTTTTCAAAGATAATGGCCAAAGGCTCCTCAGTGACATTTGCCAACTCCCTCAGTACCCTCGGATGCATTAAGTCTGGACCCATGGATTTGTGTATGTTTAGCTTTTCTAAATAGTTCCTAACCTCTTCTTTACCCACCAAGGACTGTCCATCTTCATCCCATCTTGCGTCACTTAGCGCATTAGTCCAGGAGCCAACCTTGTCCGTGAATACAGAGGAAAAGAAAGCATTGAGTACTTCAGCTTTCCCCACATCATCTGTCACTAGGTTACCTCCTTCATCCAGTAGGGGCCGCACACCCTCCCCCTACTGCCTGCTCTTAAGTCATGCAACAACAAAAAAGTGCAAAAGTCAGCTGCAGGAAAAAAATTCCCTGCTTTAAGTTATTTCGTTATACATCCAAGTGTTTTTTAAACAGTCCCCAGCACCAGTGCCTACCCTGACATTACCCCTCCTGTCTTTGGAAACCCCTGGTCAATAAGCACTTTGGGGCCCCAGGCCCACTTCACAGTGGCACCCGATTGTTTTGGTGCCAGGCCGCCTGAGAGCCAACATCCCTCGCTGCAGACGACAGGTGTATCTGTGCCCCACAGGGGGCAGCACAAGGGAAGGGGGGGCAGGAGGCAGGGCGAAGGGCTGGTATTAGATTCAGCCTACAGGGGGCGCTTTTTGTCCCAGGGCAGAATCCGGCGCCTGGCGGCGGGCCAAGTTTTATTTTACAAGCAGCTTTCTAGAGGCCACGTGGGCCTCTTCCCCTGCAGCCCAGCCCTGTGCAGAGTTTCCCTAACTTCTCTGAAATCGAGATGAACCCTCCCCCTCCACTCCCAGGTGTAACTCTGCAGCCGGGTGGGGCCAGCCTGGCCCCTCGCTCCAGTCCTGCGCTGGCTCAAATTCCTTCCTGATTCTCCAGCCCTGTTCAGACCTGTTTGGAAACAAATCCCCGGAGGCTTTTTGGCCTGGAAACTCCCCGCTCTGCCCCCGGGTTACTTTGGGGTGGTGCCACCTTTCCCCTGGTCCGGATCCTCCAATCCAGCGCCCCCCGTCAAACGGATGAACGCGCAACAAGGTCGCTCCAACCCCAGGGCGCGCAAGGGCGCAGGGCACCGATTCTGCGCACCCGGCCGGTCACTCACAGCCTGCGGGCTCCAGCTGCCTCTCTCCAGCCTGCAGACAGCAAACCTGGGGGGGACACCGCCCCAGTATCGGACCCCCCGCTACTGGGGCAGCGTAGGCGGGGTGGGGGGAGGCTGTGATTTGCAACTGACTAGCTCTGCAGCGCTCCATTACTCCAGCTGTTTTATAACCCCCCCCATAAACACCTCGGCCCGTTTGCCGGGGGCGGGGGGGAGAAGGCGGCCCAGCGCTAGCCAGCTGCGGGGATTGTTCCAAGGCTGATAACCAGCCAGGCGCCGCCCTGGAGGTGTGAAACCTCCTGTTACTTGGCTCGTGAACGCGGTGGAGCTTGGTGGAAAGATGGCAACACAAGCAGCCCTAGCGTCCACCGAGATCCTGGCACCCACTTCCCAGCCTCCCCCTACTAAGAGCCAGGGCGTGCCATCAATTTTCCTACCCTCCTTGAAGGCAGCCCCCGCTGATCTTGACACTTCGCTTGCAAACAGCAATAGAGGAGCTCCTCTGGCCCCTAGTTTGCCCGTTTCAAATCGCTGCATCTAGAATGTATGTGCTGCTCAATCCCTATGTGCAATGCCCATTTGGGCTGCTGCAAGGCAAAATAATCCATATTTGCACTGGGTCCCACGATGGGCTGTTGGAATTTTAAAAACCACTCCAAGGTGGTTTTACATTAGTTGCACCACTCTGGAGAGAGGGAACCACCCAGCCATGCCACATCAACAGCACCCAGGTTACATGCTTCTAAAAGAAAAGGAGGTACAGAGCTGCTTTTACACCGCTCACTCCGGAACGTTTTAAAAGGATAGTGGGTATTTGCTCAGCTGCCCTATCATAAAATTCAGATTGCCAAGACGGGGAAGCCATTCTAAATCTGGACACAAAGGCTCAAGTCCTCAAAGAAATCTGTGAGGATCTGGACCATACAAAGAAAACTAACTTTAAGGATCTAGGCCATACAAACTAACACCCAAACCCACTCTCATCTGCGGAAGTGGGTTTCACCCACGAAACCTCATGATACGAATATATATACATATTTGTTAGTTTCTAAGGCCCCTCTACACTAGGAAATTATTTCAAAATAATAACTTCCAAAATATCTATTTCAAAATCAGCTTATTCCCCAAGGAAAGCAGGAATTATCATTTCAAAATAACCAGCCCCTTATTTTGAAATAACAGGCTTGGTAGTGTGGATGCTTGGTTATTTCAAAATGACTCCCTAGTTTAAACCACGGTTAAGGTACTACGGGACTACCCATTTTTTTTACCCAAAATATTTGGCTCTTCCTTGTTAGGATTGTGGATTTTCCATGAAGACTCATGAACCAATTATTGTTTGAGTTTGGCAGCTTTTACAAGCAGTTGCCTACTTCATGCAGTTACAAAAGGTAAATTAACTACAGAATCAGTGGAGCATTTTCCAAGGTAACCCCCCTTTAGAACATAAACACGCCTCTAGCTATCTACAATGTCTATTTCAAGTCAAGTAGCAGCTAGTGTCACAACTGGAGGCAGAAAGATTTCCTAAATTTTAAAATTAAGTCCCATTAGTGGAAATCTGTCCCTTTCTGCAGGAAGATATATACTGGGCATGAAAAAGTATCTAATTCAGGTGGTGTCTAGAACGTCTTTCACAAAATATCCACCTATAAGTTGTGTTTGAAGGTAGAGCATATTGGGGTTTTTAATTCACCCACAGTGACACTGGTGTGTATTATGGTGAAAAGTAGATATAAAACAGAATTAACATAGGGACATTACTAGGGGGTTTTGTTTTATACTTATATTGATGGTATGGGCTTTCTCTCCTATTATTCTACTCCAGTATTTGGCCCAACACAAGTAATCAGTTTTGACATGAAAATGTTTCAGGGCTGGAATAGGAACATATTTGAGACCACCTCTGTGCCACTCCCTAACACAAATCAAGTATATTTGTTGAACTTAAGAAAAAAGGAGTAACAATAGCCAAATTAAACTGCTGGTAGATGATTAACAGTCTATCCTGCTTTCTGCTTTAACCAGATATTCCTGGTGGAGGGTGTTAACTGCAGTGCACAGGGAATGTTTACATGCAGGGTAAAAAATTGGGATTTTATACGGATTGTCACATCTTGGCCCAAACATGTCAAACTGCCCTTGCTCGAGCTAAACTGGCTGTCCATGTAAGGAGCCTCACACAGGTCAACTCTGGGGAAAGCAGACACTTTCTGGAATAGGTGTAAAGATTCAGAACTTGGGAAAATGCACATAAAATCCAACCAAGGACACAAACAGGGAATGAGGAAGGGGAACAGAATGAAATAAAATCCCACTTTGGTCAGTGACAGCAACTCTGATGTCCTAGAGTTATGCCACGCCCCCCCACCTGCCATTTTGCTCCAAAAATCCTCAAATTTACCCTTAAATGTGAAAAATGGTGCAAAAATCACTTCACTTCCTTGCAGAATCTCCTTTGTAGCTAGCCAGTGAAATATGAGAGGACTGGAGCCAAGCATGTGTATCTGAGATGAAAATACTGACCAGGTTTAAGGGCATCTGCTTTGCTTGTGGAAAGGTGGATAAAAAGATCAAAATGTCCCAAAAGTAAGGGGTGGGGAAGGCCCCACCACCAAATCTTATTCCCCAAGACCCTCTGCTACATGGGGATGTGCTGGGTTTTACAAAAAGATAGACCATTTTGTTAAGCCTTTGAATATTCAAATTGAAAGTATCGCGCAATCATTGATTGTCAAATCATTGGTTTCTAGAGGTTTTAAATACTTGGCATTAGGGGAGAAAATCTCAAACTTATATCTGTAGGTATAAAACATTAATATTGTTGGTCTCCACCTGGAATTTGCACAGTGATATTGTGTATTCTTTTTTTAAATTTTAAAATGATTGGTTTTTTGTTCCCTTTCCCCCCAGAATCTAGGAGCCCAGGTGGCTGATTCTTCTGCTGCAACATCAGCTGTTCTAAAAGTTGCTTCTTCTTTCAGGTCAGGATGTCTGGTAAGTTCAGTTTAAACCTTTTCTTCCTGAATTTTGGAGATGTTTTAATTATTCTCCATTTTGTGGTCATTTTACCTTCAAAGCTGGGGGAAGGGGAAGAGAAAGAAACAGTTAATGACTAATGTAAAGTGCAACCAAATCAGAGTTTTTAAGGGAATAGACCCGAAAGGGATCATATGCAATACACATTATCTGTAGAATAATACACACCCCCAACGCAAGATACAGGGGAAAAGCAAAAGTGTTTTGTGCCCAGGAATGCAGGGGCTTTAAGGAACCATTCTTAAAGTATTTCAGCCCTTTTACAAAAAATGCTGCTAATCCCTAATGTGCTTTGCAAATTCTGTGCTTTTAGCAAGAGCTCAGGGAAGCTCTGTCGCGCAGGAGTTGCAGATTTCAGGGTTAACTTGCCCCATCGCGGGTGCAATTTCAGATTCAGGCAACGGAACTCGGCGCTCCCAGGTGATCAGTTGATCTGACCCAAGTGCGACTCGGCAGGCCCAGGACTCCCCTGAGCCAGCCCCCCGGGGGAGATGCTGCCCAGGCGGGGAGAGGTCCCCCCTTAGGGCGGCTGAAAAGGAGAAACGTGCCTCCTAGATTAGACCCCCCGGTGGGGGAGCCCTCCCCGAAATGTCCCGGTGCCGTGTACTCGGCGCTCCCAGGTGATCAGTTGATCTGACCCAAGTGCGACTCGGCAGGCCCAGGACTCCCCTGAGCCAGCCCCCCGGGGGAGATGCTGCCCAGGCGGGGAGAGGTCCCCCCTTAGGGCGGCTGAAAAGGAGAAACGTGCCTCCTAGATTAGACCCCCCGGTGGGGGAGCCCTCCCCGAAATGTCCCGGTGCCGTGTCCGCTGTAACCAGGAGTGGCGCTGCCGGGCAGCAAACTCTGCGGGCCAGAAGGGTGTCGGGGGGGGGGGGGGGCCCCCTGCGCGCGGGCCCCCCC